TATATATATCATTTTATAATTGTAGTGAAAAAATATTTGTATATAATATTTAACCATTTGGACTAAAATTTATATATACAAGTTCTAACTTTATTTAATCTTTATTTCTTAATTATGTATGAAACTTTTATTGCTTATTTAGCAAAATTAAATAAGAAAATAACCAACTTAGGATCCAACTGGGCTAGCCTGGCTCAAACTCATTTATGACATAAGTTTTATTGGACTTGGCTAAAGTATCCACATTCAATTTATATTTGATATTTAAAATTCAAACTATATAATTTACTACACGGATTTGAACTAGTCCAACCCATTTTTCTAGATATAGTTTGGCTAAATAAAAAATGAGGGGAAAAGGTAATTTAAAAATTCATTTAAAATATAGATAATTTATTTAATTATTGTAAATATTAAGATATGGATAAATTATTTTATCAGTATAATCCATATTTCTCCTTCCAACTTTATACAAATAAAATAAAGAGAGAAAATATTGTTGTTGAATTGACCTGCTTCTTTTCTCTTATTGGTCGACTACCTTAAAAGAGAATCACAATTACTTCATTGGAGCATAAATGAGTGTCACTTTCGCTTTTCAAAAGAATTGTTTCTCTTTTTTATCAGTACAAATAATATAGTTATTATGTCATCCTTTTAAAGTAGGAGTCGAACATGTTTTATGCACGTATATGCAAATTTGTTTTGGTAATTTGATTGTGTTTACAATGCAAAACACTTATCACGTGAATTCTTAAGCTTATTTAGCTATTGGAGATGGATCCTCTTATCCGTGTTATATATATATATATATATACGAGTAAAGTTCAAATGATACCGGTGTAACTTTTATTAAGAGTTATACCGCTCAATAACTTTATATTAATAGTGAATTTTGTAAATTCAACATTAAATTGAAAGTTCTTTACTCTTAGATCATATATATAAAATTTTATATTAATCCAAGATGATTTGATACTTCATTTTTATAAAATATATATATATATAAACTAACTCTAAGATAATTAAGTCTTGGTAGACTCAAAAAATTTCTTATATCCAAGATTGGCACATTTTCTTCAGTTACCAATTGTACTAGGGCATGCTTCAAAGTGCTTGTAGGAAATGATAATGTCTTGGAAGCAAAAGGTCTAGTTCAACAAATGACCATTAAACCCTAAGACCATGAATTGAAACTCCTTGTTTACTTACTACCCATAGTAGGGGTTGACCTTATACTTGGTGCTACTTGGCTCGCCACTTTGGTCCCACATGTGGTTGACTATGCCTCCTTGATGAGTTTGAATTTTTTCCATATTGGCAAATTCATCGTCTTATTTGGTGATAGGTCTGATTGTCTACTCAAGCTTAGTTCTATCATATCCAGCGATTTCACCATACTAAGTCAATCTTTGAGATATTTGTTTTACATTTGATAGAGCTTACCATACCTTAAGAGCAATTTTTTGAACTGCCCAGACAACAAATCCAGAGCTAGTTTCTTTATTACATGCTTATAGAGATGTTTTTAGTACTCCCACTAGTCTACCACCTTCTAAACAATGGAACCATGATATTACATTACAGAAGAGTTTTGATCCTATCAAAGTTAAATCATACAAGTATCCTCACAACTAGAAATAATAGATAGAAAAGATGATTCCTGAAATGTTGCATAGCACGAGCCCATTTTCATCCTGTATTTTGTTTTTTAAAAATAAAGACGACACTTGGAGATTTTGCACCAATTATAAAGTCATAAATGGCATTACTATTAAAGATAGTTTTTCTATGCCAACTGTATATGAATTACTTGATGAACTATTCAGTGTTAAATCATTTTCTAAGCTTGAGCTTAGGTCAGGTTTCCAACAAATTTTAGTTAACCCTATTGATGTACACAAGATAACTTTTAAGACTCATCTTCGTCACTATGAATGGCTTGTCATGCCATTTTGCCTTACTAATGCACCTACCACGTTTCAGTACTTGATGAGTCAAGTATTTTAAGCTATTTTATGGAAGTATGTCTTGGTATTCTTCAATGATATACTAATCTATAACTTTACTTGGCATGATCGTCTGTAGCATTTAGCTTTTGTCTTGTTTATTTTACAACAAGTGTTGTTTGTGAAGCTTTTCAAATGCATTTTTGGCTTATCTGAGGCCAACTATCCTGGGCATATTGTCACAAGTTAGGTGGTTGTTATGGACAAACAAAGAATCCAAGATGTATTAGCTTGGCCTACCCTAACAAATGTCAAACAGCTAAAGGTTTTCTTAGTCTAACAGACTACTATTGATGATTCATCAAGTCCCATGCTACCTTAGTTGTCAGTCTCACAAACTTACTTTAAAAAAGGCATGTCAAAGTTATTGTTCTTGATGCCTCATCCAAGTTATACATGATGGCTTAGTCTGAGTCTCAAAAGTCAATTTTTGATAGACTTAAGGAGAGAGATTTCCACCAATGAACATTTGAGCAACATCATTCAACTCTATCAGCAAAATGTTGGACTTGACCCAAATTATGTTGCTAATGAGGGTTTTTTATATAGGAAAAGTCTATTGGTACTACCTTCTTCCAGTTCCCTCACAACTAAAGTTTTGTTGAAATATCATATTTCACCTATTAGAGGACACCCTGGTGTAGCAAGGACCCTTGCTAAGGTCACATCCTAATTCTATTGGCCTAATATGTGCTATGGTATCAAGGAGTTTGCAAATTTGCTCTATTTGTCAACAGGCCAAAATTGGCAACACTTTACTTCTTGGATTGCTCCAACATTTACCAATTCCTCAACAAGTTTGGGAGGACATTGCCATCGATTTTATCACGGGTTTACCCCTATCATTTGGTTACATTGTCATTATGGTGGTAGTGGATTGCTTGTCTAAATATGTTCACTTCATGGCTCTCAAATCAAATTATGCTAGCAAAAGTGTAGTTGATGTGTTCGTGTCTAATGTTGTGAAACTACATGGGATTCCTAAGTCAATTATCTCTAATAAAGGCAAGGTTTTCACCAATAAGTTTTGGAAACACTTATTCTAGCTACATGACACTACTCTTGCAATGAGCTCTACATATCACCCACAATTTAATGGTCAAGTTGAGGCTTTAAACAAGTGCCTTGAGATGTACTTGCAGTGTTTTACTTTTGACAATTCTAAGAATTGGTTTAGAACTTTCTCATGGGAAGAATACTAGAACAATACTACATTTAAAATGAGTTTAGGCCTGACTTCTTTCAAAACCCTTTTATGCAAGGGGCCCTTCAACATTAAAAAGGTACAATACTAGTTCCATTGATCCTATAGACCTACAAGAATTATTAGGCAGTTGTGATATGCTTTTATCACAACTAAAACAAAATTTTATGTAGTTCAACAAGTCATGAAAAGTCAGGCCAATAAGAGGAGAAAGGATGTCCATTTGGCAGTCAGTGACTTAGTCTTGATTTGTCTGCAACCATATAGACAATCCTCACTTGGGTTGAGAAAGATCTAGAAATTGGGCATGAGATACTTCGCCCTTCTTTTCCTATTATTAAGAAGATAGGTAATGTCGCCTACAAATTCCAACTCCCACCAACTACTAGAATGCACTCTATATTCCATGTTTCTTAGCATAAACCTTTTAAAGGTTCTGCTAATGACCCTTACATGCCACTGCCATTATTAACTTCAGAAGTGGGCCCTATATTATAGTCAACTACAATATTAGCCAGTAAAACTCTATTGAAAGGAAGCTTGCAAGTCCCTCAAGTCTTAGTTCAATGGACAAATGTTATAGCTGATGAGGCCACTTGGGAGGACACACTAGATATGCAAGTGACATATCCTAATTTCAACCTTCGAGACAAGGTTGCTTTTAAAGGGAAGGTATTGTAATGAGTAAAAAGGGTAAAAAGGCAAAAGTTACGTATAAGCACATGCATATGAGAGAGTATGGAGAGTTGGCTCAAGAGTTTCTTAAGGATTCAATGAGAAGAGGCCAAAGGAATTGAGTAACAAACAAGAGACTCAAGGATTACGTATAAGCACATGTGTATGAGAGAGTATGGAGAATTGGGAAAGAAGGGAAACTGTGGAATTAGAATCATTTTTCTCTATTTTACCTTATCTCATATCTTCTGTTATTCTACTTATATTGTCATGTTTGTTTATCTAGTGTAATATTCCTTCAGAGACCATGCTCTAGACGTTGAATTGTTGCATTTGATTATTCAATAAAACAATACAATATACTTCATTGATAATTATTTTATTCTCCATTTATAATTTTTTGTAACAGATCATAACATAAGACCTGACCTATAAAGGTGGGAGACTTCATGTGAAACTTTGTGAGACCATTTGCATCCTTGTGTAATCATGCATCATGTCATCTTTAAGTAATGTTTTTAAGATATTGCTTAATGAATCAAGCTAATGGAGACCATCAAGGATTGTTAACCATAAACTTTAAGAGATGTAACTCACTCTCTATCATTTGTTATTATTTGGATTTAGGATGAACATCATTTGTAGGTGAAGTTCAATTAAATTTAGATGATGATTCAATTAGTTCTCATTGAATATAGTCATATAATGAAATATGTTTATAATGCTTAGTTATAAATAATGCTAAAAGCAACAAAATAATGTTTAATCAATAAAAGTAATGCTCTGCAAATACAGATTAATATTTAATTTTTAACTTTAAAATATTGCGTATACCATATCCATAAATTAAAAAAAAATGTCATAAACAATGTAAAGTAGTTTAAGCAAAGGATCTTTTTTTAAAAAAAAAAAAAAAAAATTGAGGCCGTGCGAAGAGCAAAAATGAGGTGCAAACATAAGCCTCGTGGAACATTTGTGTAGCCCATCAAATCTCCTTAGATTACTTGTTCCATAAACCCAACCCTTGTACTAGGTCTAGGTAATACATATGTTTAGATCGATCCCTTTTCTTGCGTGGCTTGGACCCCGTATCATGCTGAATGGGGTTCGATCGGTGCAATTAGCACGAAAAGAAAAAAAAAATATTACATGCATGGTAAGGGACTATCATTAAGTAGTCGAATATTATTAATTTTTTTAGTAAATTAAAAATTTTGACTACAAACCATATCAAATAGAGACTAATTGGACCATAACTATCATCCTTATTAATCAATTGAAGGACGTGTTGTGTTGGGCAACCTCCTGCCATGCACAAATGAACTGAATAGGTGCAGTGCTCTTGAAGGTTGTGCATAAGGTACCATGTGTGCAGCTCCCCTTACAGTCGCAAAGGTCAACAAATTTCCATACTCAGTTACCCAACCTCCAACCTATATATATATATATATGCCACCATTCAACATCAAATTGTTACTTAATTAGCTAGCAAAATTCTCTTCATTCAAATTGCAATATCATAAGCTACATTAATGACAACTTCAATGCAATTAAAAAAATGCTAAAAGTGTTGAAAATTTTCAGGTACCTGCCCTTTGTGGAACCAAGCACCATATGGGACTGTAATCTTGAATTTCAATTCATGAGCTAACTCACGAATGAGAGTTCGAGATCCCAATAATGGCACAACGGAATCTTGATCTCCGCTGTTAACATTAAATAATTAGAGACAAAAAAAAGAACAAAAAAAGTGAAGTCATAGGATCTTATTTTAACATAGTTCATACATTTGTTTTTATTTTCTAATATAACCTAGATGACTAAAAGAATATAAATTAATGGGGTTTTTATTCTCACTTATAAATTTATAATTAGGGGTGAATGAATGTTTAGTATTTGTTTGTGTTGGTGTTTCTTTAAAAATATTTTTAAATTTTCATATGGATGACCCGACTCATACTAACCCAAATATGGGTTGATTCGATTCGGATTTGATAGAAAATTTACACAAATTTAACTCAATTCAAACTACTTTTAACAAGATGGGTTTGATGAAACCAACTTAAACCGACCTGTAAATACTTTAATCTCCTGCACATACCTGAAAACCCATACTGGGATATGGTTTTGGATTATCCTCTTGAGAATTGGGAGAATGTTGATGTTACCATCAGTGTCGCTATAGTTTAGATCACTGCAACAACAACAAAAAAATGTGATCGTATAACATCAAACATAGATTTTGAAAAATGGGAAGTATATGACTCAATTTCGATAAATTTCTAAGTAAGCACTTAAGTTGACTAGCCAAAAATGTACGGCAAGAATATAATGAAATGGAATGCCCTTTGATAAGTGTGCTCAGAAAACCATTTCAATTCACCATTTATTAACTTGACTGCAAAGTTTCAAGATTCCATGCATCTCAGCTAGTGGTATTACTTGTTTGTTAGTTTAAACCAAATAAACACAGAATATATATGTATAGCCTAAATCCTTGACATGCGAAAGTTGATAATAAAAATTACCACAACCCAATACAAAGTATATGTGCTTACAGCAACTTAATAACAAAAAAATATCATGTACGGAACGAGAATAAATACTAATAAAAAAATCAATTTTTTATTCATAGAAATTACGATCACAATAGCATTCGAATATAAGATTTAATATATACAACTCTAACTCTATCCCTTTATTATTAGACCGACCTTAATAATTCAGAAAAAAAAAAAAAGTTCAGATAAAGTTTCTTAGATGTTATTTACATTATTATTCAATTAGAATTTTAATTTTATCTTGATAATAATTCACAAATTTTTTAATGCAAATATATGAAAGATTAAATTTCAATTCTAATCGATAAATACCATAAACAACACTTATAAACTTTATCTAGGGGTTTTTCTTAGCCTACTCACCCTCTAAATTCCCATCATAAGACCCACATTAAACCCAACACAACTTACGTGGGTCCAAATACTTATAATAATGATAAAAAAACACTATATAAACCAATAAATCTAATACAATATTTAGTATTCAATTAATCAAGTTATAGGAATTCGTGATTCTGCTGGTTCACAAAGGATTAAAAAATTCAAAGTTATTATTCTAAAGTATATGTTTTACTTACCGACTACACATGGACCAGCTATAAGGAAGATTTGTACGGTTTGCATGGAGAGCCTTCTGAACCTCAGGGAGATTGAAGTAAAAACGTCTTTCTAGAGTCATACACACATCTACACCAACACTTATTTTAGTTGCCTGCGTTCAAGCAAAGGCAATTAGCATATAAATTGATTAAAAAACGATGAAGTTAATGCATCAAACAACAAAATTGGAAGAGGTTTACCATCCTTTTCAATCTAAGTTCTTGTTCCATTAAGGATGGATAACAAACATCTAGTATTACATCATAGCTGTTTATGTAGTCACCAACAATGAGATTTGCTTCATATATGGCATTGTTGCAGGAATGAGAAACATTGTGAGGACTTGCATACACATAATCATCAAAATCACAATCATTCATAATGGCAAGGCCAATTTCATCAGAAATCATTCCATGTGACCAGAAGTATTCATATGTTGCAGGTGCATCCCGATCAAGTCTCAAAAGTGGGTTTCCAATCTAATAAAAATATAATATCAGTAAGATAGATAACTGAGACTAATCTAATTGAAACACAAATAAAAACTTAATGGGATCTTACAGCAACTCCTTTAATATTGAATTTGAAACCAGTGGAACGAGCATTGTGGTCCAATAAAGCATTAGTTAATTGTGGTATATAGTGTCCTGTGTGACATTATAGAGGTTATTAATTAATAAGAAACCGAATATAAAAATGAGATCAGGGCTCAGAGGAAATAAAATGTACGTCATGAAAAATATAAAAATAGTTGGTGTTATAATATTACAGCATGTCCCCTCTAGCTAGAGACGATGTCATAGTTTATTAACATTTGCATAAATAATAGTATTAAAACTGTAATCTAATTGAATCACGTCAGCTAAAAATTATAGAATGTTTTCAAACACAAGATTTTCATTACGAAATTGAACAAGTTGTAAAATTGGATTTGATAATTAGTGACCGAACCTGCATAGCTTTCTCCAGTGAGAAACAGCTCTCTTGTTCGGTATGATGGAAACTTCTCGTACCATTTCAGCATGAACAAATACATATCATTGGCTGCCACAAAAGAAATGCATGCGTTTACACTGTCACTTTTCCAAAAGATCTTTTATATCAAGGTCCTTTTTATTAATTATTATCATTTTGGAAATTTTATTTGTCTTCTACCTCTCTGTTCATAGATTTATTGGGGTATTGGGAGCTGTGTTGGTCTTTTCCCCACAAGGCCAAACCTTTTATGGTGAGATTCTATAACTTTTTTCGTATCAAGTGATACTCGTATATCATTTCTTTCTATTTTCAATTCTATTCCCAATATGTTCATATACCTGTTCTGGTATTTATACCACAACATTCTTTCTCTACAATTATCAGCCAAGGCTTTTTGCTGCTTGAGAGATACCTTAAAATCCACAAACAATACCTAAAGCACTTTTTCATTTCATACACCCAGCTTGATTCTTATAAAGTATATCTTCTTTTAAGACAAAACTCAGATATAATATTATAGATACTGTTTGGTGTTGTTTTCCGATCAAAATTTAAATTTTCCTTTTTAATGTTTTTACATTTAATGGAATGTACAATATGATCAAAGTAAAACTTCAATTCTAATAGGATAATAGCCCCAACAACACACTTATAGTACTGTATGAAAGTTTTTTTCTAATCTTTAATACTTTGTATTAGGTGAAATTTTATTTAGATAATTATATAAATTAATTACCACATTCCCAGCTTTAGGTGAACACAGAGGAAGACTGGGGGGCAGGGGATGAATCATGAAATGATTTTGTTTCTCTACTATTTCTAATCAAATAGAACCTAATAAAGTCAAATAAAAATCTGAAACATTAAAGTATAGAACCATGGTAGCTGAAGATGACAAAAATGAGAATAGGCCAATTTTCTTACCAGTGGCGGCATCTCCAGTGTTATAATCTGAAGATGTATTTGAGTATGACCAACCAACTCCAGCGGGAGACTCCACAAAAAGGAGGTTGGATGCTAAAAAAAAGTTGACACAATGTCAAGAATCAGTGTACACCAAAAATCTTCAATATCAAAAGGGGTAACAATTTAAGTCAAATACTAGTGTTCTATGTTTCAAACCTTTATTCCAAGACATCGAATTTCTTCTGAGACCACGTCCATCACCTTTGGGATAAAAGGGTCCCAATTCAGTAAAAGCACCTCCTCCAATTGAGGAACATCCAGGACCTTAAAAAATGGAACTTGTTCTAAGATTTCCGAATCACAGCTAAACATGGCAACTTCAATTTTCTGAGCTTACACTGTTATTACTAATTACTAATATAAATTAAAATATAAGGTCATGCTTGAGACAGCATTATAAGTTATAACAAAGAAACAATATTAAAGTACTAAGTACTATCTTGTCTCATGTGAACATGACCAACATTTGAATTACAATTTCTCATAATTTTCCTTATTAGACTAGAGAACGGATTTTTTTTTCAATAATTGGCATTAAAATTTAAAAGTAAATTTTACTGTATGGTATGTGATGGAGTGACACATCATGAAAGAGGAATCTCTATTGGATGGTTTGATGTAGCTGCTATTATAGGCTTTAAAAAGTGTAGATACTGCAGAAACCAGAGTCATTTCACGTTTTTTAGCAGCAGGATCTGTGAAAAGAGAGTAACAGTGGAACTGTGGAAGCAAACAGGACTTTCTGTTTAGTAAAAAGACAACAGAGAACTTGAGTGGACAAAGACAAATCAATGACACCTTCCTTGGCTTTACATAAAAAGAACGGAAAAAGGAATCAAAACAACCAACGGCTAGCCTAAAAAGAATAAAAACACAAAATTAATAAATTAACAAAAAGCATGAACAAATTATTCCTCATAGAGACTCGGACTGAGTACATGTTTGAATTAACATCAATTTTAATTTTGGTTGAATGTGGATCCGTGGAAGCAACAATTAGTTGCTATTAATTGCTTCAATTTTAATGTAATTCTTGTCTAAATTTGGTCGTGCATGTAGAACCAAACATACACTAAACAAACCAAACTAGAAATTTTGACAAGGCACCGAAGAGTGAAGAATATGACCAAAGAAAATTGGAAAGAAACAACAAAAATTGACTTCATTATGAACACCCACATCATGATTCACTTAAACTTTAAACCAACTCAGCCCCCACAAGAAGCTAGAAAGTGGGGGCAAAGGGCCATGAGTGTGATGAATGGAACAATGCAGGTTTTGAAAATTTGCAAGTGGATATGATAAGCTAATTGAACAAGAGTACTAGAGTAGTAAAGGGTAACTAACATAAGTTCATAACCATAACCATAACCAACCTCCATTGAGCCAAAGGGTGAGGGGCTTCTTGTGAGGGTCTTTTTCAGCTTCCACAAAATAGTAGAAGAGGCTCCTTCCATGCTTGACATCAACATCAACATACCCAGCAAACTGCTTAAACCCAACCTTAGGTTGACCAGGCAATTTCACCACCAAATCCTCATCTGGATACCCTTCTACTCCAACACTGCCAAACAAGGTGGTACACCCCACTACAATTATGACTCCAACTAACCAACACCTACCCATAACCCCAAAAACTCCAACAACACCCTCTTTCTCCATTCTCTCACAAATCCTTTGTCTTTTTTATTAGCTACAACAACATATATATACTAAAGGCTGATTCCAACCCTCCTCTCTCTCAAAAAGACAACCTTTTTATCTGAGGCAAAATGAAGAGAATTATATTAATTGTGTTTTGTTAAGAGATGGGAGAGGCACGTGAGTCGTGAGTTTGCTTTAACAAAAAGGTGCGTGTGTCCCTGCCTCAAGATCTGAATCGCATAGAGTATAACCCAAATGCATGAAGCGATGAAGATAATAAATATGGGTGGAGACACGCAGAAAGAAATATGGAATAAGCAAGTAATTTATTCTTTGAGAAATGATAGTTATAGAATCTAACACCTCTTTTTTACACTTTAGTTATCATTGTTTGACAATGACAATCATAAATTTTAATAAGAAAATTTTTAACTTACATTTTTTTTTAGGAGTGGATTAGCAAGATACATTTGATTGCATTTTAATTAATGCTATAATTATAACTTCTTAACATATTTCTTCTATATAAAAAAAAGGTGGGGCATGTTTACAAATCAACACAAACAAATACTAATTTACATTTATTTACTTTTTAAAATAAGTAAGTTAGTAATATACATCCGAGTGTATTTTATGAAAAAATTGTAGTAATAAATTATTAATTTACTTTTTAAAAAATAAAGTAGGTGTAAATGAACCAACATTTTATAAGAGACTCCTAAAATTTATGATTTTAAATAAATTTTAGATAAGAAAAACAAATGTTAGAAAGGATGTTAAAAAAGTGTGTTAAAATGTGTGTTAGTAGTATTTTTGGGTTACATTTGTCAGCTTGATTTACATGATCTAATTTAAAGGGTAAAAAGGGACAAAGTTGGATAGAGGTTGCAAAAGTAGGAACTCGTATATGCTAATAATAATATGGTCAGTTAAATATTCTGAAGTAGATAAGGTCATCAAACCAGTCAAGTCAACTAACAAATAATTAAATTATCTTTTAATTTATTTGACTTGTATGCAAATGTGTTTGACTAAACCCCAAGCGTGGTTTAGTAGTAGGGGTTAATCCACGCTTAAGCAAAATCAGGAGTTTGAATCTTGCCTTGTGTATGCAGTCGCGTTAAATCTTGGAGCCAGTTATCCCATCCTTTGAGGTGTTTCCCTCGTAACGAAGATATTAGTCACTCCTATCGACATTAGATATTTTAGGAAAGAAAGAAAAAAAGAAAGTGTTTGACTAAAAGCTATTTTTGAGGGGGGGGGGGGGGGGCG